CGGATACTCGCGCATGAGCGCGGATGAGAGAAGAGAGCTTTAACCCTGATATTCCCCGTACGCGCGACACACGTATAAAAGAGCACTTTTAATTTTATATTAGGCTGCTGGATACCTCCGAGCGAAGTTTAACGGGTTGCGGTGAAAGAACTCTTGCGACACGCATCGGATTATCGCGACCATGAGCTTCAGTTTATGCCTCGCAACCATGTTACGAACGTCGAAGACCATGTCCATTGTACTGCGCGCACGCATATGCGTACGCATACGCATTTACGTTTTTGTATAACGCGCTTTTTGCATCCCCTTTTTTCTTACAATAGCTTTTTTTTATAATAGCTCGGTCACAAAAACCGGTCGGCTCCATTTTCTTCAATTTACTGCAGTATTGACAAAAAACTGTTGTATACGCAGATATTTCACGAAAATCATTGAAATATAAGATTACTTTGTCCGGAGCTATCCGTTTCTTGTACTAAAAGAATGTTTGGTACGTTAAATTTACTTGAAAAATCGTTTTCGAGTATCAAGAAATGCAATATAATATAGTAATAAACTCTTCTTTTTACATTGAGCTTTTTTCAATGTAAATATAGAATGTCAGAGGGAATAAATGATACCAGATTTTTTAAGGACAGAAACTCTTGAGTTCGAAATAGCTTTTGCTTATTTATGATGCATTTGACTGTATTAATAAAATAAAAATAAATTTATTATAACCCCACCTATTAAAATATAAAAATAATTTTAAGTTACAATAATTAGAAGGAAATATTATTAATAAGTTAAAACTAAAGTTTTTTAAATATCTATAACATCTTTCTTATTAAATAGCAATATATCACAAAATTATTATTATTATGAATATTATGGATATATTTAAGAAGAATGGCAAGCTCGCCTTTCTAATGAAACGTATTACAAAGACCAACATGGCCTTTCGTATTTGACAGATTTATACAGAGTTTAAACAATATTTCACGGTGCGAGGTATTATCATAAAATAATAGCTTAATATAATAAGCCAAATAGAGCCTAGAAGGCATGTATTAAGCTATTAACAGATCAGCTTTCTAAGTTTACAAGTAAGAAAGTAAAATTTGAGCAACCAAGTTGAGATTTAACAAAATTATTAGTGCTGAAATTTATACAATTTAAACACTGCAAGTTTGTAATCTGCAAAAAAAATTCCACGACACTGCTTCCGGAATTTCTTTCTTTTGACGAGTAGAACACTTGTCCCACACGCTGACAACTTATAATTAGCCTGACAAGTACATTCCGTTAATTAGCGTACGTTAAGGGAGCCGAGAGAATCGTACCGTCAATCGGAGTCCGAAACAATGACGCGCGCCAATGCCATTCACACATTGCATTCTGCAACAAAAGGCTAATGCTATGTAAATATAAAGTCTCGCCCATTCAAGCGCGATCTTCTTCTCACGCGAGAATAGTTAAGGCGGCCTTGTACTTGGCGTCCCGACCTTTTAGGAAACGAGATGATGTACGTCATCGCGTACCGTTACGACACACGATCACGCCGACCGATTCGTCAACGTTCCTCCGTGTCTCTTTGTCCCCTTTCAGGTATCTACCGTGTCGGAACGAGTCGCGAAATGAATTCACAAAATGACCGTTTGAAGATCGCCCGACAACGAGGCCTCGCTCGGGCCTTCTAGCGAGTATTCGAACTACGTTCCAGCTCGCGCGGAGCAACTATATGGGCGTTTGAAAAGCTGACGGGCATAGAAATACGTATGCTATCAATTTCCATATATACGTCGTGCCGCGTGCTCGTTTTACGGGAGGCTACGACGCCGCGCCGCCGGTGAGTTTTACGACGTCGCGCTTTGGTAGCGTAATCCAGTCCCGAATGGTTTCTGCGCCAAGTAGACGCGGCTCTCTCGACACGCAGATTATAATGCGTTATAACGTAACACGACACTACTCGGTTATACCTCTCTTCTACAACCAAAGACGTTCAAACCCGTTTCAGCAAAGAGGTTTGCTAATAAAAAAATAAAAAAAAGCATCGAAAGAGGCGATGCCGTTCACTGGGCTTTACACGACATGGATGTCGACCGAGTGTGAGAAAAATTCGATATTACGATTACCAAGGCATGTTCGGTTGCTTGTTCGATTGCGTAGTACTTTCGTTTGTTGGCCTTTTATCCACATTGTTGCGCGCGTATTTAGAATTGCGGCATGCAACTTTCGCACTCGGTAGAATAGATTTTTATACAGTATAAGAACACAGGGATCAAGGAACAGCAAATAAACCTACCGGATAGATCAATTAAATCCAAGATGGCGATCAAAGCAGCCAATAAGAAGGAGGTTGCCGGCATTCGATCAGATAAAAGAAATACGCTACTTTTAATAATATGGAGCTTTAGTACCGTTACGTGTTTTTCGATAACAAGTTTCGTCTTCCTTTTTATCATTATCAATTAATGACCGAAACACGATATCACACTTTATATCGATATAAGTGTTTCGAGCAGGTGAGACTTTATCCTTAACGTATCCGACAGAATAAAGAAATGCAAGGAAACATTTTTAGCCGATTACTTCTTGATCGGAGCCAGCTGACGGCGGTATTTATATTTAAGAAGTTCGATCTGATACCCACGAAATTGATCGATCGATGTATCAAATTCGCCACTCGAATTTGCTCAAAAATAAAAGTTAGTCATTACTAACTTATATATAAAACTTGTTATACAAAATATATTAAATAATATATCTTAGGATTCACGGAATAGAGTTTAGATGCAACAAAAGAAAATTAGTCAAATAAAATAATGGAAAATAATATTATAATATAATATATTTCCAACACACTATATACATATAAATCAATTGTGTTTAATTTAATAAAAACTAAACATACTATAAATTCGTATAAAGTATATTGTAGATATAAAATTAATATCGCGTAAATTTCACGATTGTTGCAGTTTTAGAGATCAATATCGTAAATAAATGAAAATGCTTTAACTTTATAACAGAAAGTCTATACAGTGTCGAGCACATCTGGAGCGATTATTCCGTCTGGCAAGAATAAAACGATAGCAATGCTGAACTAAATGAGAAGCCAATCGTTGTAAGTGGCCGCCGCTTTTCTCCCTCTCTCTTTCTCTCTTTACGTGTGGATCTAAAATTCCATTACTCCGTGTACATAAAAATAGCCGGTTAAACGACAAAAAAAAAGGCCATTCAGTAGCAGCAAGAAATTCACGTCTCGTGCAAAATCAGCCTAACAACGCGGCTCATCTACGACGAATAATCGGGCCGCTTATTCTATCCAACTGGAGCAAATTCCGCGATCCATGAACTAGAACCGCGCTCGTTCCAGCGAGACGTACGTAAGGTTGAATCGATTTGCCGGTGTAAAACCGGCTGGGCGTCGGCGGCTGCTGCCAGTAGAAAGAGACGGAAAGGGAAAAAAAGAAAAAGGAAAACGCCGAAGGACAGTGGGAACGCGCGCGGGGAGGCGAACATTGCACTGGTATGGCGGGATACCCAAGGAACGAAAGAAGTCCAAAGGTGGAAGCGGGACGCTTAAAGACGGGGAAGGAAGATGGAACGTGGCTGTAAAGGAGAGATCGAGGAGGACAGGGAGAGCGAATGAGAGAGACGAAGACCGAGACTCGATCTCTCTGACTGCCTCTGGCTGGCGGCGGGGTGCACGGACCATACTCCCCTTTCCGCCCACCAAAGACCGATCTCCTTCGTCAGTGCCGGCGTGGCGCGGGTTTCCTACAGGTGCGTTTACAACCTGCCTCACGGTTTTCTCATATCCGCCTACCTGACGATACGCGGCGACAAACGTATACGCGACTTCTCCCCGCTTTGACGTCGCGCATCTATAATACTCTCCGCATCGCGGAAGCGCCAACTCCGATCTTTCGCAAGATATGAATCGCAACGATGGTACAGCGGTACAGTGAGAGTTCGAGAATTTACAAGGCGAGAACGTGTACGACTCGTGAGCGTTAATTCGATCTTGGTTTCGGAACGCCGCGCGAATGCAACGGTTCCCATCAATCGTCGAACTACCGGAATCATATCTCGAACTCGGATCTACACATCGTATATATGTATCAGACATGGCTGAGCGTCGAATGCACCGAGGTGAGGAAATTCCACGGTAGCGGGGCAACGGAACCGGACCGCGCGAGGAAGAGGGAGGGTGCCAGGTTTCGCGTTTACGCACCTGCCCCTCATACCACGTCCCCTACCTAAAACCTCTCGCGCGTTCAACCTGCGCGGCATCGCTTCATAGGCACTGGTAGATAGGATACCAGGCAAACCCCCCCTCGCGTGCCCTCTCACCGCTCGCGCTCGCCGACTACCTGTCGGTCTCGCTCTGGCGATCGCAGGCCGGCCGGGACCCACCTCTCTCGCACCAAAGACGTTCTAGAGTTGCGGCACAGCATCCAGCAGCAGCGCTACTAGCGGCAGCCAAACGGAAAGACTCCCAGCCAGGCGAGTCGCCCTGCTGTATAGGTGTACCACGCGCCAATGTGTGCGCTATACGCGTGAGGTGTGCATGAGCCTTACCTGCGTGGGTGTGCGAGCCGAGGAAGTCTACCTGGCGGCGTCCGACACGCAGTTACCCGCGCGCTTCTCCGCGTTCTCCCGCAGGAAAGAGCGCCGCGCGCGTACCGACGTCCCGCTCCGGTTGTCGTCCTCATCGAGTGGAGCTGTTTCTAGGGTACTCCGACCTTGGGAGAGAGGAGCGCGTCGCCGCGCGTACGACTTCTTCCTTTCGCGGTTCACCGGGCGAGATCGGCGGAGCAGAATCGGAAGTGCGACGAGAGGAATCGCGCTGCTGGTTGTCTATATTCCGCGGTTACCGCGTGTAGTGTATGTGTGTTTACGTGTACACGGAGAAAAGATAACGAGTGATACGGGCGAAGACCTCCCAAAGTCCTCGTTTTGTGCCATCCTAGTGGATATCTGTGGAGCTACAACGGATGTTGTATCCGCCGCTGACTGGACCACATAAAGCTAATAAGGGATTTCGAGCGGAGGAAGAGATGCGTTGGTGGTGTGCTGGAGGACACTGAAAGAGAGACCTGGAAGGTTTCTCCGTCGACGTCCTCCAGGTAAGAGAAAGAGTGAGAAAGAGAGAGAGACAGAGAGAGAGGTTTTCCTAGGTGAATGTATCCGGAAAAGTCCTTAGAGGGACTTGTAGGGCAATCGCGTGTCTGCCTCGTTGCGTCCCTACGGACATTCGCGATTCCAACATGGCTGCTGGGACTAGCCGTGACCGCTGGGTCCGCGGAAGCCATATTGGCAGGTGTGCTCGGCTCGAGATAACCAGTTCATGTTCATGAAACGTACGCGGCATCGATACTCCAGATAGTAGATCCGAATGAGCACTTCACCATAGAATTATCATTTAAATTGTCGCTCGTCTACCGTTCTCTGAAAAGCCCACCTGCGAAACAATACGCACGCGCGATTTCACAGGAAAAACGAGTTTGGAAGATGTGATTAATAAAAAGAAAAAGTCTCTTTAAACGCTGTCTCGTACCCATTTCCTATACGATTGCGAAAGTTTACGGTGAGTTAGTATACAGTGGTTCTCTCGACGTCTATTAGACGTTCGTAAAATTTAGGAATAAACTACGGATCACTTATACGTCTCTCTATTTCTTAAGTAAACACATAAAAGGTTAAGCTATGTTAACGAATGTTCAGCATAGTAGAAACGTGAAGAAACAAAATAACAGCATCGTTATTTACGACGACATGGAAAGATTATATTTATTAGTTTAAGTACATACATCTTTAAAATTTAACAGATTTCTTGACCTTTTTTTTTTTATTAAAAATAAAAAATTAAGAAATAGCTTTGGAGTCAAACCCATCCTGCCTGTACAATATATAATAACACATTAGATTTGCTTGACCTGCCATTCTATTTTTTGTGCTTTTACGTGCTTTGTAGGACTTTTTGGAAAACTGTAATTTGGTTTTCACGCTGAAAGTGGCTAAAATAACCGGAATACTTGTCTTTTAAGTCTCATGTAAAATTGGATGCATTCCGTTTCACGCATGATGTGCATAATGCATCATTTATCCTTGTTTAGCATTCGATGAACGACAGGGATAAAAGATGCATCATGCGTGAAATGCGTGAAATGGAATAAGAACTTTTGTTAAATCAAAGGAGGGAAACTCTTTGTTAAATTAAAATATTTGTAGTCTAATAATTGCGCATCGTCACTACGTTGATTTTCCAGATTCCAAATATTGTCATTTTTTTTTTGTATCTCGTATGAATTATAAATCGGCATAAATGTCTATCATAATTATATGTCTAACATAAATGGTATAATGTCTAACAACTTACTGCTAAAATAATAATTAAATATTTTTTCACGTTGAATACGTTTTTATGTACATTTATTTTGTTAAAATTTTTATCTTAACTTTTATGTAGATTTATAGAGATCATGTAATTTAAAGAAACGTAAAGTCATGTAATACATATAGGAACATAAAAATTCAATGTTTTTAATAAAATTTGCACTTTTTATTCAATAAATAATATAGTTATTATATTAGATTGAAATGTATATTGATTGTTTATATATATATATATATCGTGTTATTTCTTTATATTTAATAATTTAATTTAATCATTTATTAGAAATAAAAAATTTGTAAGTACATATATTTAAGTTTTTTATTATACTTAATTATAGTTGTAAATATTTACAGATATTTAATATTTTTTTAAAATTAAACAATAAACGTGTTTCAATATACATTGTCAATACAATAAAATTTATAGTTTACGTTACGTATACTATATGTAGATTACGTATTTGAGGCTTTCACGGGTATTTTCTTCAACTACTAATGTCTTTCTTCATTATTGATGCCAATTATCAATAATGAAGAAAGACACGGCAATAACCCGCAAACCTTCTGGTATATATATATATATATATATATAGATTTTCAATGCAGAATATATATTGGAACACAGTTCATGTATTAAATGGTGTATTTATTTCTCGTCTTAATATATGTAACATAAAATGCTTAAAAGAAACTATTATCCCATTAAAAAATGTGACATTACCTCAATTTTATAAGATTTTGTTACAAATGTTGAGCAAAAACGAACGCAAATTTAAATATAGAAATTCGGAAATATTTAATCATAAACAGATATTTTAAGAACCATTCGTTCAGCAGAAAGAATTTTGATCATGTTAGTTAATCTTAAATTTATTAATTTATTAGAGTGCAATTAACAATATTTTTATCTTTCAGGTGCAATCAGTATGCCAACCGATATCGTAGTTACGTCGGCCTCGGCCACGTCGGTTTCGGAGGAGACAAGCAGGGGCCGAGACTTAGGCCTTGGACAGTCTTCAAGATCAGGCCCCTCTTCTGCAGCCACGTCGTCCTCCAATTCTAACGCATCGTCAACCTCAAGAGGATTTGATCCATCCAGCACTCTCGCCTACCATCATCACCGCCACAGTTTAGTAACCGGTCTGGGTCATGCTCATCACCGAGAATCGTCCGCTTTTGTGCCTGTAGTGCCTTCAAGATTACAACTCACTCCGTATCCTGGTGAAATGCATCCGGGCCATCTACCCGGGCCACCGCCCTCGTCCTCATCGTCAACGAATTCGGAGCACGAAGTGGGCCCTGAATCTTCAGTAGCCAGAAAAACCTCTTCGAGTTACGATATCATGGCGATGATGGCCGACAAGAGAAAAGAATTAGCGAGAGGTCTTTTGTTACCACCCCATCCTCTCCTTGAGCCACCTGGGTATCCGGTATTTGCCGGCCCTTTTCCAGGTAGTTCCGCATTGTATCCCCCAGGTGGTCCGTTAGCCCATCAACATTTGGACCGAAGGTTGCTTAGAGCACCTGGCAGGGCATCCAGACCGAAGAAGCAGTTTATTTGTAAATTTTGTAATCGGCAGTTTACGAAATCGTACAATCTTCTCATTCACGAGAGGACTCATACTGACGAAAGACCGTATTCCTGTGACATATGTGGCAAGGCATTCAGGCGGCAGGATCATCTTAGGGATCATAGGTACAGTACAGTTCTTTGTTAAATTAATTAGAATCAATTGGTTGAATTAAATATGTTAGCTATTACGTAAAAAAATATATATAAAAAAAAATTTATTTATTTAAAATTTTAATAAATTTAATAAAATTAAATTTTTTATCGTGCATACTTACATTGTATTTGTAATATTAAGTATCTGCAATAAAGGTAGCAATATAAATAGCAGATAAAAATTAAATGAATTTTTAAAAAATTTAAATTAAAATGTAAACTTCTTTATTCGTTAACTATTTTTTTATTTTTACTTTTTTCCTTAGGTACATCCACAGCAAGGAGAAGCCTTTCAAATGTGGAGAATGTGGTAAGGGCTTTTGTCAGAGTCGTACTTTAGCAGTTCACAAGATTTTGCATATGGAAGAATCTCCGCATAAATGTCCTGTTTGCGCGAGAAGCTTTAATCAGCGCAGTAACCTCAAGACACATCTTTTAACGCACACGGACCACAAGCCTTACGAATGTACGTCATGCGGCAAAGTATTCCGCAGAAATTGCGATCTTAGGAGACACGCGTTGACACATGCCGTAGGTGACGTTCCTCCAGAGGCACTGGAAGACGCGTTGAGGGACGATGACAGTCCCGAAGAGGATTGTCCTGAACCTGGACCATCGTCCTCATCGACGTCCACAACACCGTCTGCACCTTCTGCATCTTCTAGTTCGTCTGGATATCCTTCTCAAGGATCTTCAGTCCCACCACCCGCGCCTACAGCATCGGCCTCAGCACCACCTCTTCCTCAAAGACCGCAACTTCAGATTAGAAGGGATCTATTACCTGCTGTAAAGACATCGACAGTAACCAGCGGAGCTTCTGCGACTCATTCTGTCACCCAGAACCCACCTGCTGCTCTTCCGCCGCCACCCCCGCTCATTTTGGCTTCTTACCGACGAAGAATTGGCTCTCCAGGTCCTTCCAGAGTATTTCTGGAGCTTCAAGAGCGCGAGCGCGAGAGAGAACGGGAGATGGAGCAGAACAGAGAAAGAGAACGTAACAGAGAACGTGACAAGGAAATAGCCAGACCACCGAGAGCACCAACACCACAACCACCACCACCACCACCTAGACCTGCACCAGCACGTCAGGGTTTCACCATTGCGGATATAATGGGTCGATAGAAAATGTGTCGCAGGTAGTTTTCTCCTGTGCTTGAATTTCTTTTCGTAAATAGGCTCTATGGATTACACGAAGGAGAGGTACCGGTCCACACAAAGAATAGTCTTTCTAAAGATTCTGTGAATTCAATGATATTTTTGGAATGCGTAAGAATATGTCTAACAACTTGTTAAATTTGCTGGAAAATCGTATTTGTATGTTATTTATGCGTATATTATTGCAACGCATTTTTCATGTAAATATGAGAGAATTTTAATGAGAGTTTAAACATAAACAGACAAAAACATAAGCAAAAAAATCTTCATAATTTTTTAAAAATTATGCATGCGTGCGCGATTCTAAAATAGCTATTAGTAGACTCAAAAATACTTAACCCTCTCAATCCAAAATTATTAGGCATAACAAGATAATATATGTATTTGTATGTTATCCTATTATGCTCAATATATAAGTAATAATATAGAGAAAAATTATTATTTTGTATACTATTCACATAATATACAAAATAATAATTTTACTTTATAATAATTATGTATTATATATTATAAACAATATAATTTCGAAAATACGTAACAAGAAGATATTTTCATTATTACAGAAATAATATCCTAGGAATGAGACGGTTAGAACAAATGTATACCAAAAATGTGCCTTAATAGTTTGTTGTTAAAAAAAAGAAAAAGAAACAGGTGCTCTCACTTCATGCTATAGTTGTAGAAGCCCACAACACTTTCTGCGACACGCATGAATCACATGATAACGATGTGTTAGGGAAAATGAAGTCCGGAAGATATTATAAGAAAACTGCGACTACGACGAAGTATTCTTTTGTCCCGCGGTTGTCCGAGAGTGGGGATAATGCAAATTTTGCGGTCGGGGTAATAACCTGTGCCTGTGTGTGCCACCGTGGCAGGTGCAATACGGCTTTGTACCTGCTCGATCCGCGCGCGAAATACCTGCTCCTTGCTACTGCTGCTGTTGCTCGTTTCCCTTCTAAAAATATTCCGACCCTAGACGAATATCAATATTTTTTTCTTCCCCACCTTCCCTCCCTCCCTACCTAGTGCCCTCGATGCGAAGAAGCATTAATGGTCCTTTTGTGAGACCCAAACTGTACACCGTCCGACCGCAGAGGCGATCCTTTCGGACTGTGCCTCTAACGCCTACAACACAAAGGTATACCTTCTTTTCAGTGGATTTTAAAGAATCCAGTATAAGAACGATCCCTCGAATATACATTCTAGAATAGCTTTCCAATTTTAAAGTGTCCATTGTGATTAAATAAAATTTCGATGTGTTCGAATGTTCGAATGATTTGGGCAACTATGCGTTAACGCGCGTTTAGGGATGAAGAATACAACATAATCGGGTACAAAACGGATATACTCTATGTTTGAAATGATATTTATAATAATAGCGATGTATCGTCGTCTTTCTTAATTGTAAAGTACATAGATCTTCCTAAATATTAAAAAATTCAATATTTCGTTAAGGACTGTCTAAAAGCGTACGGTCATTTCCACAATGCTTTGTTTCCGCGAGATATAATATTGTTAGAAATAAATTAAATTAAATTCTATTTTTTAAACGGATATATACTTATAACATTATATCTCATTATTACAAGTTTAACATTCCGTTAAATAAATTTGAAATTACTATCATTAAATATATTCCAAATCTGATTTTTCTTAATAAATTAATTTAATTTATTTCCAAGTTGTGTTTTAGCGAAACATTGTGAGAGGAATATCATGGATTTTATAAATAGTTGATATGAATGTTTTACATTCGCCATTCGAATAGTCGAGTAATTGTACATGAGACTATTTGCGTAATGTTTTATATGTGTAATATTAATAATGTAATTATTATACTTTTAGGTATACTACGGATTTTCCAAAAGTATGGAACTCGAACGTTACATTACTAATTAGAACACAATTATCAACGACAAGATTGTACCACGTGTTCAAGTTATAAAATATGGAAATGTATGAAAGTTGCGTATGAAAGTAGTCAAGTGAAATTAGTACTAAAACTCCATCCAGGTATGACTTATAATATGATAATGATAGTAATCTATGTTTCAAGCACAAATGTAATTTTTTTATATGTATGTACATTTGAAAAACAATGAAAATTTGTATGTGTGTGTGCGTGCGTGGATGTGTGGATGTATGGATGTGTGGATGTACATGAGAAAGCGAATGTAATAGAGATAAAGAGAACGCAAAAGGAAAAAAATGCAACGAAAAGAAGAAGACGAAACAAAAAAGGAAAAAGACACATTTGATATACTTTGCGATGCAATTTAATGTATAGTGATATATGCAATGTACAATATACTATGTACAACGAGAGCCTGCATCGAGAATTACAAACGTGCGAGCGATCAATTTCCTGTTATTTTCTACGTTACTAGTTTATTCCTTATATCAGTATCTATATTTTTAGATTTATATGAAGGTTAATAAGCAACTTTGTAAATTATATTAAGAAAGATGAAATAAAAAATATAAAAAACGATAACACAGCTGTAACATATTTACTGGAAAAGCATTTTGCGAGAATGAAATTACATTAAGAACACTACATTTAATTTGTATTTGAGCAAAAAATAATTTGTATAGTTAATATAAATTAAATATTAATTAAAATTATAAATCGCAACATTTATAGCTTTAGTAATTTTATATAAGTTGTACTTTACAAACTATAGTAGAATAAATATTATACATAGCAAATATTTTTAAGATAAATTTAGTAAATTATACAGAACGTGTAAAGACAATAGTTACAAAATTAATTTATAATAAATTTAAATCAATAAATAATATTTATTATATTAAATATACAACGCAATATTTCAGTACAAACTGAAATATCGACTGGAAATTAAATCCCTTTTTTTTGGAAGAGATGCTTCTAAAGGTATATAACCGACAGTAGCTAACTTATCTGCTCAGATAGAAGCAACAGTTTAAAATAATGAAATTATCAAATAAATTTTGGACATATTTAACACTTAGAGATTTTATTATCGCGTATATATTAAAAAGAAAAAATAAAAAATTAAATTACATGATACGTAATGATGGTATTTACCAACTGCTAGTTTCTTCACGTATATTTACGATCTTCTGATACTTATATCTAGATAGCGCAATAGCTTCTATACAAAGACGTAGAACGAAGAAAGATAGAAAAAACAGAGATTGGTATTTCAAATTTTATGTTAAACTTACAGATAAGTCCAAAGTATTATAAACTAGGAGATATAAATATTCATGATTCCAAGGAAACCAAAGCCTAGGTTTGAAGATACAAACTTCAACCGTGCCTTTAAGCAACTTAAAGCATATTGACAATGTCCACTATGTTATCTTAATCCTTTGTAAAAGAAAAAAAAACCTTTGTTTGACGGGAACCATCCGTGCACTACAGTTCAAACAGTATATAACTGAATAAATGAAGATAAGATAATTCCGTGATGGCTTTAAACTTTGCTGCATTTTCATTTTTTTGCAGAAAAAAGCTTGAGCACAGCTAACGTATGAAGATGTTAGCAAAATATACTGTTACGTTATTTCTAATTATTGTATATAATTTGTTTTAATTACATAATGCTTGGTAATATTCTTTCTTAACATTTTTTCAATTGGAATAATATTAATAAAATAAACATTGTTTTTATAAAATAAAAAACCTCGCTGTCTCCAAATTGAATTAATTATTGTATCATAAAGGTAAAATAAAATTGTTATGACATTTTATATATTAACTTTTTATATATTATTAATAGAGTAGCAATATATTTATAAATATATTTTTTGGATATCATTTCTTGCAATTATTTTTACCCTTAAAAAAGTACCAACATATCTTGAAAAACTATATAAGTTTTAATGAAAAAAACTGAAATGTCATCATTCATTTATTCTTATATTGCAAGGAAAACAATTCTGTTATTAGAGAAGTGCATACAAAAATTTCTTATTAATTTACAAAAACAAAGACATATTTTTTACTATGTAATATCGAGAGGTTCGTTGTAAAAATGTCAATGAGTTGGGTTTCCAGGTGAACTTCCGTTTTGGCTCGAATATTGGGCGATTTACTTGCGAGAAAGTTTGTTTGCACTTAAACGCATGTTGTGCCGCTGTCAGCTCGGCTCATACATTTTACGAGCCGGGCTCCGCCGCTCACAGACGGCTTTATGGCGGGGGAGGTGAGTAAAAATCGACAAACAATCTATTCCATCCGTACATGTCGGGCGCGGCCCGTCGTCGTTACACGAGATGATAAGTCCTACACGAATACGTCGTCCTCGTCGTCTTTCCACTTCCTCAGCCGACCTCGTTGTCGGTCTCTCTGTGACGGCGGCGACTTTCTGTGAAAATTTCGGCGTAACTCAAAAGCTAAGTCAAACATGGGCGTGTTTCACGAGGTGTCTCGGTAAATCCGGTAAAGCCGCGAAGGCAAATTCCTGCTCGAGCGACACACGTCACGCTTTGCTTTACGTATCGAGGCACGCATGTGTATGTATATATAATTTATATATATGTATATATATACATATATATGTATGTATCACGCAAACTGGATGTGTCTACTTAGGCACTTCGCACGTCGAAGACTGAAGATCACTTTGTCGCGATAAAGCTGTAAATGCCAAGTAATAAGCTTCGCGCAGAAGCTGATGTCTTTGACAAATAATATCTCGAAGAACACTACTCATTTAGTAAAATAAACGTATAAAAAAATATATCGTTTACATATATTTATTTTTTGAATGTTGCAAACTACATGTTTTATGTATACTAATCGTGTATAAAAGATGACTGTAATTTTTTAACAGTATTGTTTATTCATAATGTTTTAAATCTATAAACTTTCAGTTGAATATATAAATTTGCAACTTCTTCTAAAAATTTTTTTAAATGGAATTATGAAGAAAGTAATTAGCTCCTTTTTGGAAGCTACAAACTATTTTAATGTTCAGTACAATTATCATCGTTTATAATTTTTTTGATATCGTCTAGTTATTATAAATTGTAATAGAATTGTATATGAGAGAATTTAT